CTGGTCCATGATGTCTGTTTTTAAAACATACCTCAGTTTTTCTATGGACGTACCAAGGCTGGAAATATTCAGTGTCCCAATGTTCAGGTACCCCATCCTGTGCTGGGAGAGGAAGTGTCAGAAAATCTAATTGCTGCCATCATCTTTCTAGCAGTTGCCTGGGATATTTTGTTTGCAAATGGCCACTGGCTTGAATGCACTGGCTTGGATGCACATGGGCATGTTTAAGATCATGGCACCTAAGGGGAAAGAACAAGAACTCGAATTTTTAAGAGACGGACTGTGGCTCAATGGTAGAGCATTTGCTTTGCACGGGAAAGGTCCCAGGTTCAACCTCCTCTTTAAGGTATCAGGTAGCACGTTCTGTGATAAAATACTGCTTAAGACCCTAATGTCTATCACCGTAATGGACCAGTTGTCTGACTCCGTATACGACAGCTTCATGTACTCAGGCTTTAGAGAATGGTTTGGGTTGAGGGTTTGAACAGTGCAATAATAAATGTGTAGTAGTTAGACTGTTGGATTAGGATCTCGAAGACCCACTTTGCCACAGAAGCTTACTGGGCGACCTTGGGCCAGTTACTCTCTCCCTACCTAGCCTACCTCACAGGGTTGTGAAGATAAAATGGAGGAGAGGAGAATGTTGTAAGCCACATTGGGTCCCCACTGGGGACAAAACCTGGGCATAAATATGCTGGAAGTAAAGGACTTTGAGCTGTCTCTTAGCCTCAGACTTCAGAGGGGGTCTATGAGAGAGTCAGAGAAACAGATAGGCAGGACACTGGTAATCCTTTCCTTTACTCTCTGATGCTATCACTTTGATATTTAGATTGCTACACTCAGGGAATCTTCCTTCTTTCTGGTCTGACACCTTCTCTCCAGCTTTCTCCGTCTTGGCACCATGAGAGCAGGACATGCTTCCTGCATCTCTATCCATCCTAGCTAGTTAGACTAGATTAGAATCCTGTCTCTACTCTATTCTGTCTAGGATGGAGTTCCTTACAATAAAGGACATATGAGTTTTGCAAAGATAAAGATGCTCCGTGTGTAACTTTTGTTTCTTGTTAGCACACAACCAGATTGGCCCTGCTGTGTTATGTACCTTGAGTACTCTGCTACCCAAATAATCCTTCGAACTATACACATTAAATAAAAGTGAATGACTACTGTTACAGGAAATTTCCTGCCTTCAGTTGGCTTCTGGAACATATAGGCTACTTGGTTATTTTGATTCATCAGAATAGATGATTAATCTTGTACATGGATCAAATAGATGCCAAGGTCAGTCATAAAAAAGTCTTGGGGATTGGTATTGTGAGTACCACACCAGCTGCAAAGAAAGCATATCTACACTAAGTATTTCCTTTTGGCAGTACAAAAATAAATCAGCAAAGATACCAGGGGGAAAACAACCATAATCTTGTCAGTTTCATTTCAGATTTCAGCTCAATGCTATCCCAGTAAAAATGACTCCAATTGTATTAGAATACACACTGCAGTTTATTAAAAATGTCAGGGAGGGAGTATTAAGGCTGAGGACAATGGGTAGAATGGAACAACTGAAAATCCAGTTTAATCAATTTTCCCCCACGTCACATTCAAGTTGTCTTTGCTAACTGGTCACTAAAGCAGTCTAGAAAGAAAAAAATGGTGTTATCCAATGATGCCTTTTGAAGGGATTTATTCCTTTAACAGTTTGTTAAGGAACTGTATTTTGTATAGTTGATCACACAGCTGGCTTCTAATGTCACATACACCGCAACAGAAATTCTTCCTACTCAGATTTAATTGTAGGTTGGGTCACTGAGTACAAACATTATGGCGAGGGAGGGACTTTTTCCATCCAGTCAGAGAAATAGCAAACAGGGCAACCTTTCAAAAGCAAGTCCCTGTTTAAAATCTTTACCTCTACTTGGCGACAAAATAACAATTACAGTTTTGTGAGGTAATCATTTGGTTCTAGCTCAGGCACTTCTGGGTACTTAAGAGACTCTTCCTCCCCCCAACCATCAACCTTTACCAATAAAAAAACACAAGGGCTGCTTGCACAGGCAAACAACTCCCTTTGGCTCACCCATTGCCACTGCACCCGGTATTTCTGGCCACTGTGTGACACAGAGTGTTGGACTGGATGGGCCTTTGGCCTGATCCAACATTGGCTTCTCTTATGTTCTTATTGCAAATACAGAGGCATCTGAGCAACAACACACCATCCACCGGGGGGGGGGTGTCCCCTGTTATTTTCCTTTGTTCTTCCCATCATTCCCCTGCCCCCACTGCTAAATATCTTTTTAAATATCAGTAGTAGCTATACTGCCATAGCTTATACCATTTTTTTAAAAGCCTACTGGTAGCAGGAAGGGTGTCAGACTCCTGGACAAAGTTACTCTCAACACTCTCTAGTATATTATATAAAAATAATCATGTTCCAGGCCAGAACAGTACTGTGTCAGAACTGGGGTTCTGGCGGGAAAATCCAAAGATATATACAGTTCAAACGAGGCCCCCCCTTCCAATATCATATCATATCGTCCCGCCTAGCTTTTGCACTTCTACATTCCCCCACACACACCTGTGAGTACATGAATTCCTTATCTAAGACAGCGAAGCAGGCACGGCTTTGGCTTCAAGGTCATACCTGGTAGAAAGGAGGTATCTTAGAAAGAGTTATATTGTCTAAGACAGAGCGGTTCACACAGCCATTCACACACACCCCTCAGGAATTTCTCTTCCCCGATAATTCATTGCAAACTAGAGACAGAATTTGACAAAGGCACAAGATTGCTAGAATAAGGGAATAGGTAGTAAAATGGCACTGATGTGGACAGAGAAAGCCAAAAATCGCGGTCTGGCGTTCATGGCGGCAGGTTAATTTCAGAGCTCTGCCTCAACACCCAATAATTTGCCTTATCCCTGTGGAAAATCACGCTTAAAGTTCAAAAAACTCCCCCAACAGCAAAGAAGAATAAAAACCATCAAGCAGGGAAAACTGCAAATATAATAAGTGCCTACTTTTCTTCTACAGAATCCTTATCAGTGCAGGAAGAGCTAACTTTTGATGAAGAAACTTTTGATGATGAAACAGGGAATCTGCTTTTGCAAGCAATCCAGAAGAATGAAGAATTGGAACCAGAGTAAACTGGTAATATAAAGAAGAGGAAGCACTTGGTGGCCACTTTTCCAGATAAAATGAACTGTCTAAAGATACTTTTTAAATTCAGAACCATATATAAAGTTAACCTTATTAGTCTAAATATTGTTTTGCCACTTCGGTGGACTATGGTAAACTAATGAGTTTGTTGTATAGATGGGGGGGGGGGTTGTTTCTTGGCTTTTCTAATAGGCTCCATTTGGAAACACAGTTTTTTACTGTGTGCCTCCTTTGGGTTTCTTTTTCATGCAAGGGAGGGTTCCAGTTTTGAGTCATCCACTGTTAGCAAGCAATAATGGGTTTTTCCCCCTGTAAGCCTCTAATTGATATCATTCTCTAACAGTGGTAGAGGAAGGAGGCGGGAGGAAAGGAGAACAGGATTGGGATTTGGAAATTGTTTCTAAATTGATATCTGATTTTATTCATTTATCTCTCCCTTCTCTCTCCCATTCCTTTCCTGATTCCTTTTTTTCTTTTTCTTTCTTTTCCTTTCTTTTCTCCCCCTAGTTCAAAGGCTTGATCACTGTTTCAGTTTACTATATTACTATTTTGGTGATATAATTAGTCGGCATATTGCGTTTTAACTTTTTGGACCATGGACTCTCAGTCAGCAGGATTAGGACAACAAATTAGGATAACTACAGTTAACATCAAAGGTATAAATACAGAAATCAAAAGATCTAATTTTTTGGCACATTTAAAGAGAGAAAAATCAGATGTAGTCTTTATACAAGAATCCCACCAAAGCTCTGAGGCAAAGCCCATTCATAAATCAGCTTTATATCCACTCCAATATCAGTCTACAGGCTCCTCTAAATCTACAGTAGCTATTTATATCTCCTCAAGACAAAGTTTTAAATACAAAGCTACTGAAAAAGATAATGCAGGCAGGTATATTTTTGTTAAAGGGAGGATTGGCTCTTGTAAAGTACCATTGGGTGCAATTCATGCTCCCAACAAAAAACAAAAGGACTTTTTGGAGGTAACCTTAAATAAGTGGACACAATTTAAGGAAGGTAAAACAATAATTGATGCCGATTTAAACTCGGTTTTAGATATAACAAAGGATAAATCTCACATTCTAAAAAGATTGGTCAAAAAGAAGTCAAAGTATACAGAGATAGCTAAAATTCTTCAATCCCATGATTTAATTGACAGCTTGCGTTTTTTGTATCCGTCTGCTCGGGATTACACCTTTAATTCTCATACTCATAAGGTAAGCATGAGAATAGATGTTGTTTTGACATCCTCAACTTTAAAAGATGTTTTAATTTCTGCAGAAATAGGGCCAAAGTTGCTTACAGATCATTCCTGGGTCCACTGTAATCTGTTACTCAAGGAGTTGGATAAATCCAAGGGGATATGGAAATTCAATAAATCTTTTCTCAACGATGATGACATAAAAAGAATGATAGTAAAACAATTAAAATTTTACTTTGAAATTAATGATACCATTGAGATTTCACCTTCTGTTTTATGGGATGCATGATAACCCTTTCTAAGAGAGAAACTGATTGCTTATTCAGTAACTTTGAAAAAACAAAAATTAAAAATAGATTAGTACAAAATATTATATCATTAGAAATTAGATACTTCCATTTTTATTCACATAAAATCCTGCCACTTCTCCAAATTCATTAATTTTTTTGAACAGTAATGGCAGATCTTCAGTAGGGTTCTCTACTATGAACATAACGTCATCTGCGAATGCTCTGTATTTATGTCTGAAATCTTTATGTGTCAATCCTTTAATTTCTTGATCTTCTTGTATTTTCTGCAATAAGACTTCCAGTACCCATATAAACAATAGCGGAGATAAAGGACAACCTTGTCTTGTTCCTTTTTGTACCTTGAAGTGCTCTGTCAAGTCTTTGTTCACGTTTAATTTTGCTCTTTGTTCTGAGTAGATCGCTTCAATAAGATTGCTAAAGTGTTGTCCCGCTTCTGTGTTTTTCATCATTTGAAACATAAAGTCCCAGTTGAGATTGTCAAACGCCTTCTCTGCATCCACAAATAAAAATGCCACTTCCTTTTCCGGATGTTTTTCATAGTATTCAATTGCATCCATTACCGTTCTTAAATTGTCTCTAATCTGTCTGTTTGGTAAAAAACCAGCTTGGTCTTCTGAAATTACAGTTTTTAAATAGTTTTTCATCCTTATGTGAATAAAAATAAAACAAAACTTATATGTAAAAATATGACAAAACAAAAACAGAATGATTTGCAAGAACTGGTACAATGTGAAGTGGTAAAAAAAATAAAATATTTAGGAATTGAGTTAACTGCGAAAAATATAGACTTGTATAAGAATAATTATGAGAAGTTATGGAATAAGTTAACTCAAGACTTTAAGAAATGGGAAACCATGAATTTATCACTGATGGGCAGAATCTCAGTTATTAAAATGAATGTCTTACCGCGATTAATGTTCTTGTTCCAAACGATACCGATACTGAATAAAACAGAAGGACAATGAAAAAGCAGAATGAGATTGACTATAAATATGAATGGTTGAAATATATGCAGATTTACGATGTTTTTAAACTCGATAAAAAAAATTATGGTTTTAGGGAAGAAAAAAATGAAATAGAGAATATATGGGAGAGTGGAGGGAAGAAAAAGATTTCAAATATGTATAAAATATTGTTAAAATGGTATACTGAAGATGAGATGGTTAAAGAACAAATGATAAAATGGGCAATTAATATGAATAAAGAAGTGACTATTGATGCGCGGGAATATTTGTGGAAAAATTCGATTAAGATATCGACCTGTACCAATGTTAGAGAGAACTGTTATAAAATGATGTATAGATGGTATATGATGCCTAAAAAAAATAGCAAATATGAACCAGAATTTGTCTAGTAAATGTTGGAAATGTAAGAAACATGAGGGCTCATTTTACCATATGTGGTGGACATGCGAAAAGGCTGTGGATTTTTGGACGAAAATCCACAATGAAATACAAAAAATATTGAAATGCTCTTTTAAAAAGACACCAGAAATTCTGCTTTTGGGACTTAAAATGGAAGAAGTTAATGTAACAAAAAAGACTCTACTCTGGTACTTAATAACAACAGCAAGAATGATTTATGCACAATATTGGAAAATATACAAAGTGCCAGAGATAGAAGACTGGATACAAAAAGTTCTGTTCATGGCAGAGATGGATAAAATCACAAGAAAATTAAACAACAGAGAAGACGAAGAGTTTTTGGAAGAATGGAAGGACTTTAAAACATATTTGGAAAAGAACTGGGATGTGAAGCAAAGTTTACTGTATTTAGAACAATACTAAGATTTTATCTAAAGATTTTAATGTTAAGAAAAATGAGAATATTTAATGTTATACTGAAAAAAGAGATAAAAGGGGGAAAGCATTGTGGGAAGCCGAGGAGGGGGGGAGGTATTGGGAATAGGATGAATGAAATGTAATGGAAACTATTAAGTGTGTTAGCTATATGAATTCTCAATGAATGAAAAAATAAAAAAATTGTTAACCAAAAAAAAAGAAATTAGATACTTCCAAACTTCTTATAAAACAATATATAAAAAATTACAATCTGAATGTAAAATATTGGAGTTGATGGAAATTGATCAGATTCAAAAAATTTAATTTATACAAAATAACGATATTGGCAGAGATCCAATAAGTAAGTAAAACACTAAATCACCATGTATAATTTTACAATTTCCCCCCTGTTTTTATATTATGCTAGGTGTAAATTTTTAAAGTATTTTACAATGATTCATTAACAAAAATACAACTTAAGCATTAGCCATGAAGCTCTACATTCAGAATGATGTCACTTCTGTAGAAATATTTACAGCCAATAACGAGGTCTTATCTTAGGTACAAGGTCCTAATCTAATATACTGAGCCCGCTCGCGGGGAGGGCGGGGTATAAGTTTGATAGATAAATAAATAAATATATAATACTGATTACAAAAACAACTAAGACAAACAACGGCATTCTAGTAATCATTCCGTTTGCGTATTCTTCATCAGGTTTGTCTGTTGTTGATTCATCACAATCTTGAGGTACTGAAGGCTGTAGTAAAGTAACATTCTTAATAAACTTCACAAAAACAAAGAAGGCCTTAAGATTACTGAAATGGAAAACACAAAACATTCAGAAATTTAGAAGAATTGGATCTATGACAAATTCAGAAAGGGCTGTCTACTATTCAGTATTCAATTGAATTGGCTGTCTACTATTCAATTCAAAGAGACTACTGATAAGCCTGTTTTAGACCATTTTCCTAATCAACCAGATTTAAAACGTCATTTTGATGAAGCGGATAGACTTATTTTTAATCAACCTATAACGGAAGAAGAGGTAGCTGGAAAAATAAAAAATCTTAAAACCAATTCAGCTCTGGGGAATGACAGATATCAAGCTGAATTTTATAAATCATTCCAAGAAATTTTGATACCTTATTTTACTTAAAATTGTAACCACATTATGCTCAGGGGTGAAACTCCCCCCTCACGGGACCATTGTTCCTATTGTTAAAGAAGGAAAAGATGAATCTCATCCAAGTTCATATAGACCTATTGCTCTTATGAACCAGGACAATAAAATCTTTACAGCCATTTTAGCTCGGAGGCTGAAATCCATGATCAGCAAGTATATACATCAAGATCAGACAGGCTTTATGCCCAATAGAAATATAGCAGACAATACTAAATGGACGTTGAATATTATTAATCATAGTAAAATCACAAATTTAGAATAGCTAATCTTGAGTGTGGATATGGAAAAAGCCTTCAATTCTGTCAATAAAGAGTACTTCTTGCCCCTCTTACAAACTTTGAGATGTGGTTCTAATATTTTCAAAGCAACTGAATCACTTTATAAAACAAATTTGGTTCAGGTAAGGGTGAATACTTCAAGGTCAGAAGTTTTTGAAATACATAAGGGTACAAGATAGGGTTGTCCCTTATCTCTCATCCTTTTTGCCCTTGGTGAATGTGATGCGTGCTAATAAAAACATTACAGGTATCAAAATAGGCACTTCAGATAATAAGATCTCGCTACTTGCCGATGATCTTGTTCTGTATGTATCCTCCCCACTTAAATCCATTCCAGAAATTTTATCTATATTGGATAAATGTAAAGTAATTTCAGGTCTCAAAATTAATGTAACAAAACCAGAATTTTTTCCTATTTATCTTCCTTCTGATGTGGAATCAGAGTTATCTAGGAGTTAAAATACTCCTCAATCTCTCATCTATTGTAAATTGCAATACAGGCCAACTATACAGGGAATTACAATCACAAATGGGTAATTGGAGTACTAAAATTGTGTCTTGGCAGGAAAGGCTTTCTATAGTTAAGAGTTTTGTTCTACCAAAATGTTTGGGGTTTTTTAGGACTATACCTTTATCTATTTCAAAACAATCTCTCCATATGTGGCAAAGTTTTTTGAATCACTTCATTTGGGAAGGACAGAAGGCCAGGATAACATTTCAAATGCATTGTAAACCAAGGAGACAAAGGGGACTACAAACTCCAAATTTAAAATTTTATTATTGGGCTTCAGTTTTAATACAATTAATTCAACTATACAATCCTTCTCCATCTGAAGAATGGGTTCCAATAGAAGATGCTTACTCAGCTCCACTTCCACTTGGGGGAACTATTTGGTCTTCTCCCAACAAAAGATCTCTTTCTTTAGCGGCCAATAGTATCTTAGTCAACACCCTTACGGTTTGGGATAAATTAAAGAAGAAATTGGCTCCTTCTCCTTCACCTATAGCAAGTGTTTTAAATTATAATTGGTTTCCTCCAGGTTAAGGTAAAGGTAAAGGTTCCCTTGCTCGAAAGCCAGTCAAGTCCGACTCTAGGGTTCCGGTGCTCATCTCCGTTTTGAAGCCAAAGAGCCAGCGCTGTCCGAAGATGTTTCCGTGGTCATGTGGCCGGCATGACTAAATACCAAGGCGCACGGAACGCTGTTACTTTCCCACCGAAGTGGTACCTATTTATCTAATTGCAATTTCTTGCTTTCGAACTATTAGGTTGGCAGCTCCAGGTTACAACCTCCTTAATTTTAATAAGTGGATAGAATTGGGACAGGATTCTTATAACTCCTGGTTCAGCCAGGGCAAGTTATTGACAAAACAAGAAACAGACAAAAAAAAACCCCAACAATTACCATGATATTGAATTCTCAATTCTCAAAAAACCTTTCATATAAACAAACGTGGGCTAAAGAGATTCCTAATACCTTGTCTAATGATGACTGGAATGATATTTGGAACTCCCCTTCATATAAATCTCCAATACAGTCTATTTGGATGCAATATTACAGATTAATAGCAAATTGGTACCTTTGTCCTTCTAAACTAGCTAAGATTAAATCTGGCCTAAGTCCATTGTGCTGGAAACACTGTGGACCAATGCTGTGGAGTCTTGTGAGCAAAAAATTCTACTTTGTGAGCTACTGGCATTAAAGTTGTGAGCGAGCAATTTGGCTACCGCATAAATTAGTTTGCTCTGGAGCCAGTGCTCTTTTTGTAGAAGAATCCCAGCAGGAACTCATTAGCATAATAGGTCACACCCAACACCAGAAACTAATTAGCATATTAGGCCACACCCCTGCCAGCACTGCACATTAGGACGCATCCCCATGTTACCAGAAGTGTGGTTATCCAGCCACACCCACCTTTTGCTTGTTATTCTGTTTACCTTGTTTGTTGTCAAAACCCAGGGCTTTTTTTGTAGCAGGAACCCCTTTGCATGTTAGGCCACACACCCCCAATGTAGCCAGTCCTAATGAATTTCTGCTGTTGGGTGTGGCCTATTATGCTAATGAGTTCCTGCTGGGCGTGGCCAACTTGGGAGCCAGCCAGAACTCCGTTCCTGTGCGTTCCTGCCCAAAAATAGCCCTGGAAATAAACAACTTAATATGCTTTGGTAGATTTATGTCTCTCCTTATGTCAAATAAACAGAATTGTATTGATTGTGGAGGTTTAAATTTAGTTATTGTGCATTTAGCTTCTAGCACCCGAGTCCAAAATACCTTTATTATTTATTTATTTCGATTTATATCCCACCTTGCCTG